ATACATACACTCATTCGTATGTCAAAATTTGTGTTTGTGAAGAGGCACGTTTTCTTTTAAGACTGTTTCAGAACCTTTGTGGGTGACTATTTTATTTCCATGGCAGTCGCACAGAATACACTATCCAGTCATCGGTCAGATAATATTATATTTTGATTCTTACATCTATTTGAATATTGCTGAAAATTCTTTAGGTTTATAAATAGTGGCAAGATAATTGTCTTCACTACTGGCGATTTTTTTCTCTTTTTTTTGAGTCCTTGCATGAATGGCGATAAAATTAACTGTTTTTATGAATGGCTTAGAAACGAAATGTTTTTTTTATGAATGGCTCTTGCCGTGAAATATGGTAGTTGAAGGGGGGAAAGAGGAGGGGAGAGGAGGTCAGAGAGAGAGAGAGAGAGAGAGAGAGAGAGAGAGAGGGGGGGGGGAGTATTGCCTTGGTTGCCACAGGTACAACAACCACCGGCACCGATACAGCAAAGTTATTCTATGCCCTAAACATGAGTTATAACCGTGGTACCTTCTAGTAGAAAGTAGTGTCAACTTATACAGCAAAAGAGAACCTAACGAATTAAACTAAATCACGTTTAAATCAGTAAGTTTCATCGGTATGCAAATGACTGAACGGACCGGTATGTTATTGTACGTAATGCTTTTTGTTATCTGATATCCCATAAAGTATGCGATTCGATTCGTTTATTATATCAATTTGACGCAAGCAACTCGATGCGAGATGGAAAGGAGGAGGACCCGCCTTATATATATCAGTAATATCATTATCACATGTTAAATGACGGCAGGTGTAAGATTTTTCAGAAATGTAATGCATGTGAAGATTATATTATTTGCATTGCATATAATGATTTACATTCCAGAAAAAAATGCAAGGGTTAGTTTACAATGACTACTAGTAAAACCCGCTGTTTCGTTGGCTCTTGCTTGCTTTCTGGCACTGTGCCATCCTGCAGAATAGAGTCTGTTCCTCCGCCACTCTTCCCTGTTTAGATTAATCCGTCGCTTTTGTATGGAAACGCGAGTGTCTGCCTGAGGGACACCGTCCCGATATGCGGTTGCAAACACACGTCACGCCAGTACCTGACTTGTAACCTTAAAATACAATTTCCGAACATAACGGACCACTATGGCAAGATTCTCTCCGTCTTTTGGATATGTTCATACAGCTCTTGGCCGATGAAGAAATGACCATCGAACATACCTGGAGTAAAGTGTGGCTATCGCAGAAAATAGGTAATACACTCTTAAAGGTTTCGATCTTGCACTGCCAGTGAAATAAATGTTTCTCTGACTCCACACTCCATATAGTTTTTTCAGTGTTGATTTATACACAAAATATATGTTAGTATAACGATTTAATCATCACTTCACATCGTTATTGAAAATGAAGGGATAAACTGCGACTTGGCAACCTGACACCATGTTGCACCACCTTTGCTTGCTCTGACTTGCCAACACCGGGAAGATCTTGCGTTTTAAAGACTCGCGGAGTGATTCCTCGTTGATAATAATGAGAATTGTCGTGATGATGACAATAACAATAATGACAAAAATAATGTTAATAATGGTAATAGTAATAATAGTGATCATGATATATGGTAATGATGATGGTAATAGTAATGATAATAATGATAATGATAATAATAAATATAACAATGTAATAATAATGTTGATAATAAAAATGATGATGATGATAATAATAATCAATAACAATAATATCAGTTATAATGACAATGGTAATCATAACAATAATGATAATAATAAGGGTGACAGTATCAATGATGGTAATGATAAGATAATGATAATAATATTAATGATAATGATAACAATGATAACAATAGTGATAATGATAATCTTACTATAGTTAAAGCGTGAGGAAATATGTCATTTATTATTATTATTATCATTATCATTATTATTAGTTATTTTAGAACAAATATCTAATAATAATGATAATAATAATAATGATAATAATAATAATAATAATAAATGACATATTTCCTCACGCTTTAACTATAGTAAGTCTAAAACGCAAGATCTTCCCGGTGTTGGCAAGTCAGAGCAAGCAAAGGTGGTGCAACATGGTGTCAGGTTGCCAAGTCGCAGTTTATCCCTTCATTTTCAATAACGATGTGAAGTGATGATTAAATCGTTATACTAACATATATTTTCTGTATAAATCAACACTGAAAAAAAAAACTATATGGAGTGTGGTGTCAGAGAAACAATGACAATGGTAATCATAACAATAATGATAATAATAAGGGTGATAATATCAATGATGGTAATACTAAGATAATGATAATAATAATAATGATAATGATAACAATGATAACAATAGTGATAATGATAATCTTACTATAGTTGAAGCGTGAGGAAATATGTCATTTATTATTATTATTATTATTATCATTATTATTATTATTATTATTATTATTATTATTATTATTATTATTATTATTATTATTATTATTATTATTAT